TCAAATTAAGGCTCCATATGGCATTTTTCTTGCAACCACAACCCTTTCGGCTCCGGTGAGCAAAATCATGGTTAAGAAACGCATTATCATTACGGCGTTATGCGGTTCCTAACCTGGATATTGTCGAGCGCAGGGTGTGAGTGCCGCTTCTGGATATGGCACACTTCGAACACAACAATTTTTTATGACCGCACTTCCAGGTCGTAGTCCAGTAGCCACCGTAGTAACCTGTAAACTTCATATTCTGTTTGTCGACTTCCGAAAATACTACTACTTATTTCATGCTGTAGCTGGGTGCCTTCAAAGGAAAACATAATTTATCAACACAAAAGCAAGAAAAAAACCATACGCAAAAATTGCATAAGAGCTGTGCAGTCAGATTACAATTACCCGCTCAGATTTCCTCTAGATATCAGCTTTGCATCTGGATTAAGTACATTTTCTACAAGAGCTACAAACTATGTTTTGCCAAGGAAACTACAAATCCTTCCGGGACAATTGATATGCAGATACAGGTGGCTGCAGAAGGCTGACTCGTAGTATGGACAAATATCCTACGAAAGACGACCGAGACCATTGGTATCTATAAACGACTATAAGACTACAGGCGCCTACGTATACTACAAAGACTTTAGACACTACTGGGAGCCACAAAGAAAACAAAACTACAAGCGACTACGCAGGCTACATGAGCTAGGGTTATTACAGAAAACTGCACAGGCTTCGAGACTACTGGTAGTGGTGACTACCAAAAACTACATAACCTACCAAGACTACCGAGACTACAGAAAACTATGCAAATTACCGAGACTGCAGGAAACTACAGAAAACTACGCAAACTACCGAGACTACAGGAAACTACACAAACTATCGAGACCACCGAAAACTGCATAAACTACCCAGACTACAGGGACTACGGTAAACTACACGAACTACCGACACTAGTGAAAACTACAGAAACTACCGGGACTACTGAAGACTACACAACCTAGCGAGACTACCGAAGACTACACAAACTACCGAGACTACCGGGACTACGGTAAACTACACGAACTACCGAAACTACTGAAAACTACAGAAACTACCGGGACTACCGAAGACTACACAACCTACCGAGACTACCGAAGACTACGCAAACTATCAAGACTACCGAGACTACAGAAAACTACGCAAACTATCAAGACTACCGAGACTACAGAAAACTACGCAAACTACCGAGACTACAGGAAACTATAGAAAACTACGCAAACTACCGAAACTACAGGAAACTACACAAACTACCGAGACTACAGGAAACTATAGAAAACTACGCAAACTACCGAAACTACAGGAAACTACACAAACTACCAAGACTACAGGAAACTACAGAAAACTACGCAAACTATCAAGACTACCGAGACTACAGAAAACTACGCAAACTACCGAGACTACAGGAAACTATAGAAAACTACGCAAACTACCGAAACTACAGGAAACTACACAAACTACCAAGACTACAGGAAACTACAGAAAACTACGCAAACTATCAAGACTACCGAGACTACAGAAAACTACGCAAACTACCGAGACTACAGGAAACTATAGAAAACTACGCAAACTACCGAAACTACAGGAAACTACACAAACTACCAAGACTACAGGAAACTACAGAAAACTACGCAAACTATCAAGACTACCGAGACTACAGAAAACTACGCAAACTACCGAGACTACAGGAAACTATAGAAAACTACGCAAACTACCGAAACTACAGGAAACTACACAAACTACCAAGACTACAGGAAACTACAGAAAACTACGCAAACTATCAAGACTACCGAGACTACAGAAAACTACGCAAACTACCGAGACTACAGGAAACTATAGAAAACTACGCAAACTACCGAAGCTACAGGAAACTACACAAACTACCGAGACTACAGGAAACTATAGAAAACTACGCAAACTACCGAAACTACAGGAAACTACACAAACTACCAAGACTACAGGAAACTACAGAAAACTACGCAAACTATCAAGACTACCGAGACTACAGAAAACTACGCAAACTACCGAGACTACAGGAAACTATAGAAAACTACGCAAACTACCGAAACTACAGGAAACTACACAAACTACCGAGACTACAGGAAACTACAGAAAACTACGCAAACTACCGAAACTACAGGAAACTACATAAACTATCGAGACTACCGAAAACTGCACAAACTACCGGGACTACGGTAAACTACACAAACTACCGAGACTACAAGTTACTACAGGCCACCGCACAAAATAATGAAAATGCTGGTAACTACGGGCATGGCGGAAAAATTTTGCCATTGTATAAACATCCTTCGCGAATACATAGGCTACAACGGAAAGGTGCACTACATCGTCTAAGAATGGCCTTAAAAAAATGTCGTGTTCGAAGTGTGCCATAGGTGGCTGCTTCGGTCTTCTATGTCGATAAAACAAGTCGATAAAACAAGTGAGTAAAAGTAGCCTCTGCAAATGGGAAAAATACAGCACATACAAGCCATCGCGCTGTTTATTTTGTTTAAACTGTGCAAAAATTTCCGCTCTGGCCTTTCCGACTTGGCAGTATATATAGTAACTTTCTTAAGTGGCTTAGGCTCGGACACGATCGCCTTGCTGGCTGCTGGTTGCTCAGTTGCATATCCTATGATATTTACAGTGTTACACATATTGCTGACTGCTGCAAAAAAGCACTTCTCTTCAAGCGCTTGAAAAAATGTAAATACGCAGCTAAAATTTTACCGACGATGCTCGTTGCCTCAAAGCTGAATGTGCAAGTGTATGTTGTTGCCGAAGAGGAAGCAAGGCTGTCACACCGAAAGCGCCATTATCGCTGGAAAAGCACTTGGACCGCGCATTGCTCGCAGAATGCTGATGCTGCAGCAGTATGAGTGCTGCTGATTAGGCTTCTAGAAGCGTGCATGATTCCCGGCAAAACGTTTTCTGTGTTGGCCTTAACTGTAAAACAGATGACACTAAAACATCTACCGCTACATGCAATTTCGCCATCATCGGTAGCAACTTCCGCGATGGATGTAGCAAGGTCAAGCAAATTTTGAAACCACTATTTTGCCAATGCGCGAGGAAAATGTCCTCAGTGGATAGAAAGAATTCTTAAGAAGAGGTTCTACCATGTCGGGTTACCAAAATTTTAATTTTCGAAGCTTTTGTAACTGCAATCAACATGGCTTGGCCTACCTCCAGACGAAAGTTCGGTTAATCAAAATTGCAACTTAAAATGATATAAAATTTTTTGTGATAGCTGCGCTTATTCTTTTGGCGGACTGGCGATCTTTTCTGCTGCCACCTGTGGCAATAAGCGCACAGCCGAATGAATGACCATAACTGGCAAGGATAACAAGGAGAATCTAAAATAACAGTCGAATGGCAAGTGCAATAGGAAGCAGACCAAAATCATGTGTACTAAGTGAGGACACCCAGCCATAACATCTCCCGCGAGACAAAGGGATAGGCCTGAGTCCCAGACCTGTGCAGTTATTTTAACTATTTAACGTAACGCGAGTTATTTTCGAGTTATCGAGTTATAACGTAACTCTGAAGCGTAACTCGTCCCCCCGAAAACTTAACTCTAGCGTAACTCGCTCAAAAAATTGTATCTATTGTCTATGGTAGCGTAACTCGCTGAATAACTCGAAACTCGGTTTACTTGCATTAACAGCGTAACTCGTAGCGTAACTCGCACGCTCCCTATAACTCTTAACTCTAACTCTGGGTCAGTTTTCCATAACTGCACAGGTCTGGGCCTGACACCGTTCTGTGAGCGCCAGTGGTCATTCTCCGCTCATATAACTGGCGGCACTGCAGGCGCAAAAGTGAAGCATTCCGAGAAGGGGACAAAGAAAGTTCTTCGCCGAATACTGAATCTTTGTAGAAAAAAGAAAGTTCTTCGCCGAATACTGAGCAATTTCATAAATTTAATCTGTAAAATCTATAACTAATTCAAAAACCTAAGAAAATTCCAAACTTTGATCAGTACGTGAAAAAAACATTTGCTATAACAACTTTGTGGAGCGTTTTTATAGATTATTGTCTCCCAACCCCGTATTTAAAAATGAAAGTGTCATCGCGTGTAAAAAAATGCAAATTTTAAACGCATTTTAAACTATATTGAAAAAAGCTCTTCACAAAGCTTTTCCTATTCCAGTGTACGCTGCTTTTGCGTTAAAAATAAATTTTTTTTTTAAAGCAATGAAATTTTTTATAACGTTTTAAAAAATCATAGTGAATAACCGCAGTTTTTTCGCTTAAAACATACAAACAATTTTTTTCTTTCATTGAATTGCGTAGTATAACCATTTTGTTTGTTATTAATTGCATCGGTTTTGCTATCAGCGTTTCGCGCATGGTGCGCAAGCGATTCTACCGCTCAGATAGCGAACACGGTAGAACTCCTTCTTAAGGTGGCAACGGAACTTATATCACCAAAGCAATTTTGTTTTTCGATTGGCCAATTCAAGAAACCACCAGGCCACAGGCTCGGTTTCCAAGTTTACACCATGCTTTAAATTTCAAAATGGATTTCGACATTTTTAAAAAAAACTTCGTTTATACGCCGAGCAGATTTATTCAAATATCGAGAGAAAAATCATAAAATTTATGGTTTTTTGACAATTTTCAGTCAAAAAATTTGTATAGTGCACTAACGTTATCCGATGCGGATAAAGTGGCTCCTTAGAATGCGTCGACAAAGGCAGACAGCATTTGTATGTTTACAGACGCGTACTGCTAAACCATGACTATAATATTATTGCTGCCGCTTCTGTGCTGCCGAAGTTTTGTGGGGTTCCAAAGCCGACGGCATTCACGTATGACAAGCCAAGTACTGCACGATTTCGCAGTTTTTCCGTATGATTATGTATTCTTCTGTCGTGTGGTCGTGTTATCTCGTTACCTGTTATCTTATCAGAAGAACTGAGCACTAAGTTAATGCTACTCTGAAGACCATGCGTTTCATGCTAGCGAAAGATACCACCACTCTAAATCTGCTGTCTGTATTAGCTACAGCAGATAGTAAATACCGTCAGAAATTTATATTAAACGCTTTTTTACGTGGTCAGTAAAATGGCTTGGCTAGGAAAAATAATAAAACGGGTTAGTAATAATGGCGTAAAGTTAATAACCGGTAGGCAATTTTCTAACGAATTTTTTTCATCTAACCAAGATAGGGAGCAATGCGAGCACTGCTACCACAACGGACACTACACGAGACGGACTTATACACTACAGGGAGCCAACGGCTACCACAACGGACACTACACGGAGCGGTGGCGCAGCCGAACCAGTTAACGATGAAGGCGCAGCGGAGATCATTGGCTGGAGTATGCAGTACCGCTATTCACACGCCGACTACATTGGCAAAGGAACCTTTGGTACTGTTTACAAAGCCAAAGTTACGCAGCCCGGCAGTTACACGGGAGAGGATGTTGTCGCTGTCAAAGTGATACAAACGGCTGCGGCTGATGGGCAACAAAGCTGGAAAGACGCCTTGGCAAGATTGAGAAGGCTCACTCAACTTTCTAACAAATATTTGGTGGCTTATCACAAGATTTCTATCTTCACAGCTCCCGGAGGAGCTACCGTGGAGCTGGCAATGGACTACCTCAAAGGTACCGTGGCACTACTACACAGTACTGCGTAATTTCGTCATGACTTCAGTACTCGTATCGTATGAAAGGGAAGTTTGCGGACACATTCATGACGTAAAGTGTGCAAACTAAAAACTTTTCGTTTTCGTGCAACCCGAAACTCTTTTTCCGTTAACTTATGTCACCACCATGTAACCCAATAATTACCCACTGGCGTGAAAACCGTCAGTGTACGAAACATCTGGTTAGGAAGTTGTTGATGCAAAGCCTTCCTTATGTTTATTCAACAGACGTTTACCAAAAACAGTCTCATTACGAACCGATTCTGTCAAAAGCGCACACGTACTTATGAAGAGCTTTTACACCGAACTAAGGTTCTAGCTTTTTCACATTTTTTAATGGAGTTCAAAAATTTTAACAATCATTTCAAAATTTGAAAAACCGGTGGAATGACTGGAATCCTGATTGGGCTTAAGGAAAATGACCCGGTGCATAGCGTCAAAAATGGGAAACATGCACTAAGACTCTCGCGTTCGCGCACTCCGAATCGCTTTTTGTATACTTTATACTAAATCTGAATAATTTGTATTTATTGTTTTGAAAACCGTTTGCGCGCGCAGCACCCGGTTTCCGGGCTATGCCGTACTAAACTGAAAGAAAAGTTTAAATGCATTGGTTGTGTACCGAAAGTCTGGTCATTGCCCGATCTTCTTGAAATTTTCCAGTAAAAGACACACAGCCATGAAGTCGGAAGTGAACCAACTTCAGATCCATAGCATTTTTTTCCGATTTTAAAATGAATTTCAAAAATTTTAGAATTCATTCTAAAATTATGGGAAAGTGCTATGGACCTGAAATTGGTTCACTTTCGACTTTCTGGCCATGTGCCTTTTGCAGCAAAGTTTCAAGAAGATCCGTACACAACAATGCATTTACAACTTTTCGCCCATTTTAATACACCATATTTCGGCAACCGGATGTTGCGCGCCCAAACGGTTTTCAGAACAATGTATACAAATAATTTAGCTTTCGAAAGACATAAAGTATGGCAAAATATTGATTCGGAGTGCGCGCAAGCGAAAGTTTTAGTGTACAGATATGTATCCCATGTTTGATGCTATGTACCGTTCCATTTCCTTTAAAAACGACCTTCATAAATATATGCCGTTTCTATTCATGTATCAGGAGCAGACAACCCGGTAAACGGGACTGCAATGTCTGGTCGGTAAAGAAAACAAACAGCTAACTATTACCAAGGAGATTATTAAAACAGATCAACAGTTTTCAGAGCGAACTTAAAAAAGCCGACACCGATAACATTGAGTATCTCTGCACTAACTTTTTGAATCCGTTCAAAAACGTTCTTCAATCGCATAGCAAGCGTGCCTTCTCCGATTTTCTGTTTCGCTCTGGCTTGGATTCGTTTCGGCTTCCGGAGATTGTACTGGGATGACAGGTCCTTGAAGTCGATCATTTCAACCAGGTACGGCGGAGGTTCGTACACTTCATGGTTGTAGATCTTGTACAACCAGACGGCTTCCGACTGTTTCCAACGGTTAAGTAGCGGCAGGATGCGCAATTTCTGATACAGCTCGGGGGTTACCCGCTCCTTGTAATCAGTAATGGCCTGCAGTGCTTTCCTTTGGGCTCTGGTCAGCTTGTCGCGCAGAGTCGAAGATGCTGGTGACCACGTATCCGACCCATAGTCGAAATGTGGCTGCACGCAGGCATGGTAAAGACTCCTACGTTGTGACATGTCCAGGCCTTCCTTCGCTGCGTTTTAAAAGGTGGAGTGGATCGGTTCCCAGTAGAGTATGAGTTTCGGTATAACTCGATGCCGTCATACATTTTGGAAGCTTATGTCCCCAAAAACAACCAAACGGTTCTTTTAACATTGAAGACACAAATCGCTTGACTGCAGAACGTTAAAACACAATTAAAAAATTAATAGTGTTGTTTGTGCGCCTGTGCGTGAAAACAAAAAGTTGGCGTGTATGTGCTCGTATTTGGTACAACCTAAAAGCATACTTCCCGCTCTTTACCCTCTATTTGTTTATATGTTAATGAGGCTGTACACCTTTCTGTATGTAGGTGATCTTGCGTCCTTTCTGAAGGAAACTATGCGAAATGAAGATTTACTGAACCGTTATACTCGCAGAAGTATCATTAAGTTCACAATCCACATTGCTCGTGGACTGGAGTTCCTACATCGGAATAGCATAATTCATGGCGATTTAAAGCCTGAAAACATCCTCGTGAAAGTGGTGGGAAACGACCGGGAAAGGCTTCTGATCGGCGATTTAGACGACCTAGTTGAAATGCGCGGAAACGCAACTTGTTCCGCAGATATATCGCAGATTCGCGGCACAACACGGTACATGTCACCAGAAATGCTGAGGAAATTTACGCAAACAGCGAACGAGCCACCAGGAAGGAAAACAGATATTTGGAGTCTGGGCTGCATCATGCTGGAAATGACTGAACGCCTTCACAGAATCGAAACAAAGCGACTCGTCAAGGACAAGGAGATTGTAGAATCTGGAAGCAACATTTCGAACCAGCTATATGCCAGTTTAATCATCGATGGTTTCGTGCCACTGGTGGGAGATGAAATTGAGAAAAATTTGGCGCGTCTTATCCGACAATGTCTATTTCCAGTTAGTAAAGACAGAATTCGGGCGGACCAACTACTGCAGACTTTTAGGCAACAAGACAACAAGCAAGTAATAGTGCTGTTCCCGTATTCCAGAGACGGTTTCACCCTGAAAAATGTTGTTTTATTTGATGTTTTATCCGGCTCGTTTAATATTCAAGATGTGCCTAAACTGCCATCAGCATCGGTGGATTTCTGTGCCGTTTTAAAATGGAAAAAAACAGAAATGGTGTTGGTACAACGAGAAAGGATCGATAAGCACCGTACGGTTGCAAATTATGGGTTTCTTTTCTGGAATGTTGTGCAAAGGACATGGCGCAACACAATGACTACTTTGAGATATAAGAAACTCCCTCCAAGCTGTATTATAACGAACGCCAAAAAAATTTATTATTTGGATGAGAGAGGGAACTTCGAAGAAATCGACGGTTCTAATGGCAGCAGACAACCTTTGGAAAGCGCTTTCAATCATATGAGGTAACCTGCACCGATGATTTTTCTTATTACAATGTTTGGCAGCTGTCAGTCAACGACTCCAGCAAAGATTTTCGGTTGCAGTTTTCCAGATCAAGTTGCAGTGACTAAATGTGGCCAGTACATATTTTACGCTACAAAGATCGGCTTGTGTCAATATGACATTGTGAACAAAGAATGGCGAATGCTGCCGGATTTTCCCAAGCCACGAGGGGGCTTTGCAATGGCTGTGGTAAACGAATACGTTTACGTTTTAGGCGGGTTTTTCGCTTTGACAGATGGCAACCCTGGCCGTCAAGATTTTAATGAAACAGCTGACTGCATTCGTCTAAGCGTGCATGGACATTCTAGTGCTCGTGCATGGAAGAAGATAAAGCCGCTTTCGCAACCGAGGTTTTATCATGCCGCTTGCGTCGTCAACGATAGGATATACGTGTGCGGTGGCAGATACGCCAATCTAGAGCACGCGTTCGTAATAGAGTCTTATGACACCAAAAACAACGCAGGATGGTTCTCCGGTAACTTGTTAGAAAATGATATACAGCTGTTGTCGAATTTTGTTGCAGAGATAAAGGAATGGTATAATCACATATCGGCAGTGACAGTTAGTGTGGATAATGAAACTGTAATCGAGTTTGCCGGTTGAATTCCACATTTTCATCTAGCAGTTCACTTGTGAAATGCGTCGGAAAATGTCATTCCGTTAGTAAATATGTCTAAAGGTTCGAAAGCACAGAGTAAATTGACTTAAAAGTGCTACGGTTTGAGGAAGGGCGTGCTTGCAAATTCATTTTGCCCAACAGGATTCAATTATTATTATTAATTATTATTATTACATCAGGAGCAGACAACCCGCTAAACGGGGCTTCAACGTCTGGTCGGCGCAAAAACCAAACAAAAAAAAATTACTAAGACAGATCAACAATTCGGAGAGCAAATGTGAAAAATCCAACATCATCAACACTGAGTATACGCAAGTTAACTTTTTGTATGCGCTCAGAGATGTTCTTTAGTCGCGTGGCCAGCGTGCCTTCTCCGATCTTCTTCTTCACTCTGGCAGCAATTCTCGTTGGGTTCTGCAGGTTGTACCGCATTCCAAAATCCGTGAAGTCGATCATCTCGACCATGTTCCTCAGCGGATGGTATGCTTTGTGGTTGTAGATCTTGTACAACCAAACCGCTTCCGACGGCTTCCAACGGTCGTACACCGGCAGGATGCGCAGTTTCTGATACAGCTCGGGTGTAACCCGCTCCTTGTAATCATAAACCGCCCGCAGTGCTTTCCGCTGTGCCCTTTCTATCTTGCCGCGTAATGCCGAAGATGCCGGCGACCACGTACAGTACCTGACCGGAGTCAAGATGTGGCTGTACACAGGCATGGTAAAGGCTCCTACGCTGAGGCAGATCCAGGCCGTCTTTCGCGCGGTTGATCATTGCTATGCCGTAGTTGACTTTCCGCAGTACGTGATCGTAGTGCACGCTCCACTTCAGGTTGCGGTCAATATAAACACCAAGATAATTGACTGACTGTTCCGCGTCCATCTGGTATCCGTTGATCATTACAACAGGACAGTGTGGCTGTTCGTTCCTTCCGAGCAGATGTACATTAGCTTGCACTTCTTCTCGTTGATATCTGTCAAACACCTGTCTTTAGTGGCTTAGGCTCCGACACGATCGCCTCGCTGGCTGCTGGTTGCTCACTTTCACGTCCTATGATATTTACACGTGTTACACGTGTTGCTGACTGCTGCGAAGAAGCACATCTCGTCAAGCGCTTGAAAAATGTAAATACACGGCTGAATTTCGCAGACGATGCTGGTTACCGCGAAGCTAAATGCACGAGGGTATGATGTTATCGAAGCAGCAGCAGTCGAATAATGCTGACTAGCAGAAAGCGGTATTATCGCTGGAAAAGCACTTGGCCGCGCACTGCTCGCAGAATGCTGATTCGGCAGTAGTCGAGTGCTGCTGAGTCGGGCTTAGTGCTGACTACTAAGGCATCCAGGAAGCGTGCATGATTCCCGACAAAATGTATTCTGTGTTGGCCTTAACTGTAAAACGGATGAAACTAACGTAATTAACGCTTCATGCAATTGCGCCATCATCGGAAACATCTTCCGCGATGAATGTAGCAAGGTCAAACAGATTCTGAAACGTCTATTCTGCCATTGCGCGAGGGAAAAATTAATTTCCTCAGTGGAAAGAAAGAGTTCTAAAGGTTTCAAAGGAGCTAATAGCAACAAAGCAGTTTTGTTTTTCGATTGGCCGATTCAAGAAACCACCAGGTCACAGGCTCGGTTTCCAAGTTTCCACTCTGCTTTTACAATTTCAAAATGGATTTCGACATTTTTAAAAAAAAATTCGCTTGATATTTGAATAAATCTGCTCGGCGTATAATTTAAACGGTCTTCATAATGTCAGTTTTCTGTCAATTAATTTTGAAGATGTTTAATTCTTAATGGGACTTTTGGTACACATTTGTGAGAACACCTTTTTTCAATTGGTTCACAAGCAACTCTGAAACCGGGTGTTGCGCGCACAAGCTGGTTTCTTGCCAGTGTATTCCCATTAGTCAGCCACAGAATGCCATGAAACAAAGCAAAAATGCTTTGGCAAGGCGCGAAAGCGAAAGTTTCCGCACATATACGTACACGAATTTTCAGTTTTGTACTATGTTCTGGCAGACTTCCCTTAAAATGAGTTGAGCAGCGAAAATGACATCGTATTACACAGTTTGACCCGCATCCGCGAAGATATCAGATTGTCAATACTCCTCTGTTGTCGTGCTGAAGGGAACGTTTTTATTTGCGCAGCAGTGATCCAGCCGGCCTTAAATACTCTTAATCCTTCGACACGGCGTGCTGGATGAACAGAGCGGATTTTCCTCCAGCCGCAGACGGGCGGTCCGTGGCCGGCGAAACAGACCTCAGAAACCGCCCATCGACGGCCCAGTGAGGTTGTTGCTCGTCAGATGTCAAATCTACCGCCTCTACGCCGTGCAGAACGAAGAAGCGACTGAGAAAGATATGCTGGATATTATTCATTCGCAGGGTAATTTTCTGCAACACAGAATACAACGTCGTCGTATTTGACAGAACTAGGGTAACGGCAGGATACCTTGACGCTGCTGAGTGGTTTGATAACGGTGAAATCCAGAGTAGAGATGTTATTCCCCTGGATGTTAGGGAGCTCAGTTGGGCAGCGCTGATCCGGGTGCATCGCCCAACGCGGCAAACGCGTTGACGTCAATGGATACCATGCGGTTTCCTATGAGATCTAAATAGTCTAGCGCGACGAACCCGCCCAACGTGTGTCGCGTCAGCGTGGGCAGGTGAATGAACCACAGTTGCAGCAGAGTCAGCGTCGGCTTGACATTGACCAGGTACTCCGCCACGGGGAAGGACCGGTCGGCCGGCGCAGCCCAGATATGGACCAGCCGCACCTCGAAGGCGTTGGAAAGTGCGGGAGGGGCGTGAAGATGTCCAGTAGACAGCTGGGCCGGCAATGCGGCATGAACAGGTCGATGTGTGTCGCGTTAGCCGAGATGCTGCTGAGGTTGAAGGCGGGTCTGCTGCAGGCGCAGTATTCCCATTGGTCGCTGCAGCCCGACAGGACGTAACTGACGCAGGGCGCCGGCGTTGTTGTTTTCCCCTTCTCGCCAGACGGGTCAGAATACCCATACACTTTGGGCCCGGGTCCGTATTAGGTTGGGAAATTCTGGTACGGTTTAAACGCGTCGACGCTCAACCGGAGAAACAGCAAAACCCAGAGGAAAAGCCAGTAACATGCACATCGATGCATGGTTGATGCTTACGCAAAGTGGCTGTGTACAACTTTGATGGCAGTGATTTCTGCTGTGGTTAATTGGAAAGTGCTGCAGTCGAGCCGGCGATGTTACTGAATAATTTACCACGCACGGAAGAGCAGTATTGAGTCGTTTGATTAAGCCCGAGGCGTGCTTGAGTGCGAGCAGTTCGGCGGCAGCAGGATCTTGTCGAATGATGATGCATGGATTCGTTTTTCTTTGCATGAAAATTAGTAGAAATGACGATTTTTAGTTATAATGCCGATTACCGACCTCGTCGCTGAATTGATCAGCCTAATCTTTTTTTAGCTGGGAACAGACCATCCATTGTGCATATGGCATAAAACGCTTGTCGCAGACGAGCACTGTACTATTCTAATAGGTGTGCAGATATACAGATACTGGCTGTGTGTCACGTGAATCATAACAATGTTTTGTCACCTACGAGTAGATTTTATTTCCGTCACCATATGCCATATTACGTCATCACGCTCGACGCCACATTTCGAGCCAATGGAAAAAATTCTTGTTCTATTCTTGGAAAAAATAAGAAGGTCCGTGTTCTTCCACACCCAGATTTATCCGTATTTCAAGGGGGTGTTAGTCCTTCCTCGTGACACCACGTATCTTAACGTATCTCTGCTGCATGCGTCGAGTACCTTTCAAGTATACGGATAGTTTTCAGTTAGATTTCCTTGTAGAATACGTTCAGAATACTGCAGAGATACGGTGGGATGCGGCAGTGATTAAAAAACGTAGAAGATTTGGAGGATACACCAAGGATACGTAGTAGATACCGTGAAATACGATGGAATACTGTGGATACATGCCTAAACATATGCCCGAAAAAAATCAACGTGTACTAACCGTGCCATAGGTGATATTTTTACAAGAATTTCTATCACTGTAACGATTACTAACTGCTTATTAGCGTGGGTGAAGCAGCCGGTACTGTTGTGCCACAAAGATTGCGACAGCCGATTGAATTGGGTAAAACGTGTGCAGGGTAGTTCCAGCTGTATGCCAGCGTTGAGTGCCGGAACAAATGAAAAGAAAAACAGTTATCGGTGATTAGTAATGTAAAGATGGCTCACCACGGCCACCCTAGTGAAGAGCAAGTTTTCACTGGCTGTTGCGGAGAGGCAGCCACACCGATTGTGTTGTGTGCATAGTACGTATGACACACTGCCAGGCATCGCTGCAGCAAGCCACAGAAACCTGTTCTCGGGAATATGTACTGAGTGCAATTTAGGTACAGAGCGATCGCACTTCGCACTACAACTTGAGCCGATAAGTGTTTCTGTGAGGCAGACCGGTTTTTACTCTTCGGAAGTTACTGGTCTGACACGAAGTGGCCGATATGCTGCTCATCGACGTTTCCACGTTGCACTGACATAAGCACGTATCTTCCTGATGGCTTAATCTAGGCATTCCACGATCTGTACTGCGATGGGATGTTTAGTCGTTCCCATGCCTATGTCGCTGAACGTGTTCGTCACCTTGCTGGCAGTACTGGCCGGCTACACTTTGCCGATGACGGGAGTTTTTCTCCGCCCGAATTCAGATGAATTCATTCTGGGTAGTGCCGTGGAGAAGGGCGGATCATACACCGGTCGCGACCCACAAAAGCGCTTATGCCACAGCTACGTCTTGCCAGCGTGCAACGACGAATGGGAACGCTGCGGCTGCGACAAGCGGGAGTACAATGTCAGCGCCATTTCGCGCGCGGTGCAGTTCGTCAAGATCGGAGGGTGGGACCGCGTGTGCGGCGGTAGTTGCATGCTCAGCAGTTACCTACCGTTGCCGCATCTGCCCAATTTGACCAGCATCTGGATCTTCGATGTGTGGGTGGCGCCGGACGATCAGCCGTTCCCGCTCGGCCGCTTCCTTGTCAACGTTAGACGCAGCGTAACAGAGATGCGCCTTGCCGGCATCCACCTTCCCACACTGACGCGGGACACCTTCGCGGGCTTCGCGGCATTGACGGTATTGGAGCTTCTGGCCGACCGTGTATCGGCGATTTCACTCGACGCTTTTGTCCCGCTGATGACGCTGCAGGGTCAAGCGTCTCCCTCGAAGTTAACCCGTGTCACCATTGCCGGAGGAAATTTCACCAAATTCGATTGGTCAGTGTTTGCACCGGTGGGGGAAACGTTGAAGGTATAAGTAGAATTTATTCCTTGGCGCTTACGTACGTAATTCAAAATGCCACGAAATACGCTTTTTATGCTGTTTGGAAAACTGTTTTCCTCGACAGCTGTCGCCCCTCTGTTGTCAAACTGTATGATATTTATTATGTAGCGCCGGTACCGATACAGTATCATAATACTATTTCATACAACACTGCACTAAAAGCTATTGTACCCGGTAATGGTAATTAGCAGCAATTAGGAGATGCACTACAGTGCGATTCAAATTTACGTATGGCTTTCTTCAACGATTTATCACCACCCGTCCCTTGTTGTAACACGTAACGCTAGCGCGACAAAATTATCACCGCACAAGTAGCAGAAAGCCCAACCACTCCTTATAAAATTAAATCTAAACATATTAAGTAAGTTCATATTATGTATTACAGTTGCTCATTAATTTTTCATAGTAAAATTTGAAAATGATTTCTCAACCTCTACGGTCGATGGACATCTTCAAACTAACATAAACGAAAACAAATTATAATCAATATGATTTTACAACATTCGAGAACCTTACAAACAAAGAGAATGATGAAAGAAAGTACAGATGCAAGCAGCCGAACACCCACATAATTATGAAATTTTTTGCTGATTTAATGCCCATGTAAAGCGTTGTCATTATTTACAGACGGCGTCCTTGACACGGAGCGGCATTGAGGAAATTTACTTAAGTCAGTTCTCTGCAATGTCTGCAGTGGAAACTGTCTCACTGGCGGGCAACCGTCTGACGCGCATCGACGACAGCCTCCTGTCCAGCGTGTCCACGCCCTGGGTGCGGCCGTATTTAGACCTCCAATCCATTGTGGGGCAACGATGCCGACTGTCGCTGCCCTGGCCTGCGTAATCTGTGGCAGTGGTTCGGGAAGCCGCCGCGTCGCTATATACCAATCATGCCGTGCTGCTCTGTCTACGACGGTTTAACCTGTGATAACTACACCGCGGAGACGGCCACGCCTAGCTGGAGAAACCCGTCAACCGTGGTGACCGGCACCGCAAGAGGAAAGCATTTCCAAGGACAAGCGGTAACCGATCTGGCTGCTGCTAGACTGGGCCACAAAAAAGCGCTAAATCAGCAGCTTGTCTCCGCAAACGTGAAAACGTGATCTGATTTCATGTACAACCAGCTGGGCAACCCGAACTGAGGCGATATATAGTATCTGTAGAAGTATTTCATCTGACGTCCAGTTTATGTCTTAGTTTTCTTAATTTATCTGTGCCCAAATCGAAAGTAAAAAAATTATGCTTGGTCAAAACGGAAAAAAAATTTTATCAGAGTTTATTGGATTTTATAAAACGCATTTTGTGGAGGACGAACGGAATGATAGAATAATTGTAACCACACAATATCTCAACCTATCAGGCCCAAAGAATTTTTACACAGTGCTAAAAAAGTTCAAGGTCCCAATATTGCATTGCAATTTTATTCTTAAAGTGCGATGATAGTACGTATCTGTAAGACCTTGTTCTCGTCTAACAAGAAAATACTTTCGACAACCTCGGTAACAGAAGCGGCATTTCCCCGCTGACTTGCTCCAAACAACGGTTTGGAAAGTCGCTCAGTTCAGTTATCTGGATGGCATTGCCAGCCTGCCAGGTCACCGAAAGCCAGTTAAAAAAGAAATAGCAGTGAGAAGTTTATATGACAAGGGACGGAGGAGCAACAAAATCACGCATCGCGCCTTCCCCCGTCCAGTTGCTAAACAGTATTTTAAGCCGCAAGAGCAACAAGCACGCATAGCGGGTTTTCAAACAGATTAAGCGTACGGTCGAGGCTTTTTGAACAGACCTGCGGATCTATATCGCTAAGGCTAAGCGTACGGAGTATAAGTGAACATGGTGTCCCAGTCCTGGACCAGGTAAGTCGTCACGCGGGAGTCTTTCGCCGGAACGAAATTCTCCCAGCGCGAATACAGCTGACACTGGACACGGCCGCTATTGTCGCTGGCCGTGGCGGCCACGCAGACGCCGGGCAGCAGTTGGCACAGCATCTGGCATTCGCCCGGGCGCAGATCGGCCAATGCCGAGTCGTCCACCTGCTCCACGCGTCGCGTTGCGTCGGTCCGCGTCTGCATGCGGGTGTTCTCGAAGGTCCGCAAGATGCGGTTGCTGCGCAGAACGACGGCCATCGTATGGTTGGCGGAATGATGCGGTGTGTACTGGCAGTCCTGAATGCTGGTCAGCACTTCGCAGACTTGTCGCTCCAGATCCACATTGGCCAGCACAGCGTGTTGCTCGTCCACGAGCGCCGCGCAGGCGTTAATCATGGACGTCTCGGTAATGTCACCGGCCGGCATCTGGCCCGCCAGTTGAAACCGCAGACCATCGCATTCCACCTTCCACTGGAACAGGACACCGATCTTTCTCGATTCTGAAAGGGAAGAGTCAGTTAAGTGAAATAACAGCGATCGAGGTGTGTTTTTGCAGTGAAATGCGGGCCAAAGTATAAAAGTGCATAAGCCACAAATAAACGCTGGCATAAAAACGATTTCCAACTAAGTTGCTTGTCATATATAAAATACGCTGGTTGAACAACAAGGGTGACTCACACAACTACGTGGTTAGCACTTATCTATAAAATATTTTTTTTTAACAGCTGCATAAATGCTTCGTTCGATTAGCTGCAAAAAACTTGTTTAATAAATAATATCAGACTAAAACAGCCGCATAAATCACCCGGTACTAGTGTTACGGTACAGATGCAGCTGAAGCGTGCTGAAACTAATTAAATGCAGAACATGGACTGACATTCTGTGCGTGAATTAGCGTGACTGTCTTACCGGTGCGGGACTGTGGATTGTCTCCAGTACACTGATAACGGGAGCGCATCTTGGCAACGTCAAAATACCCCAGACACGGTTGCGGTCCCCACGGACCAATGTACCAGTGCTTCGGCATTCCAGACTGCATGAACAGCGTATACAGGGTGTTGTTTCTCTCATCAGGTCCACGGGAATAGTCGGTACCACTGGCGTGCATGATGCTGTTGGGATCGTAGGGAAAGCGCATATCCGTTGCGAAATACGGCGCCTGCAGGTCGTTCTTCTCGAAGGCAGCGGCGTTTTCTTCTACAAAATGGAAAACAATCGTATGATCTCTAGTGTGAAGGAGAGAGCGGTCGCCCGTGACAACGTACGGCACTTGAGATTGTCCAGCAGCGGCTTGACGTACTGGTCCCGGTCGCGTCGAGCGTGTTCGTGGCGTAGATCGAACACCGCGTGCAGCAGCTCGTGCATAATCACGATATGCAGCATCGCATCCGGACGTTGGTGTTCGTTGAATGGTACCGTGTTGATGTAGATGGCGTTGTCGCCATAGTCGTTGTATCCATATTGTTCACTGTGTGGAGCCCTAAAAGAATACGGTACTGTCTCTTAGATAGTGTCATAATTGCACTTAACGGCGGTGTAATTCTTGTTAAAATGACCGGCTCGTTACGGAGCAGTAATGCTATCGGTTGACACTTACCCGCCGTTACAGCTCTTGGAATCGGATACGTCTTGGTAGATGTGGATGCTGAGCACATGACAGGTATCAGCGTCACCAGCAGGGCGCATCTGGAAGCCCGTGCAGTCGATCATGGCGGCGTTGATCATGTCGATCGCCCGTTCAGCACTCAACACAAATCTGTCAGCGCCACGATCGTCGCTGTCCCTCACTGCAATTCGATTTTAGATATACAAACAAACCAGGGTTATACAAGGTGACAAGGAACGCGTGGAATGCACCGATTTTATAAGGAATTCCGCGGTTCTCGACGTTCGGCCAAATATGCGGCTGGCCAAAAGGTTGCCCGTTGGGGAAGAACGGCTGACATCGGCTAGCGGCCAAACCCGGCAGGCCAAAATTCACGCCGGGAAGGCCGCCGCCGAAATTCACGTTGGGAAGGTTTGGCATACCGGAGAAGAACGGATATGGTGGCATGTTAGCGTAGTTCCCGTAAACCGGGTGACCATTCATGAAACCGGGCAGTCCTACAGAAACAGCACCCCGGCACAAGCGGTGATTTTTACAACATGGCTATAGGTAGCGCGGATGGCACTAACCTTCCCCGTCCTGTCTGCCTTCACGGCCGTTGTGGTCCGGAGCGACGGTCGTGGTGGCTGTGTTCACCGGCCGGCGTTTGGTTGTTGTCGGCCGGGGTTTTGGCTGCTTGGTGGTTGGGCCCGCCGGCTTCACGGAATGCTTGGTGGTTGCTATTGCAGCGGGATGGGGTGGTTGCCTCGAGGTAAGTGGCGGCGAGGATCTGGGGAATCGGCAAAACCCGAAATCGGGAGTGGTATAGTCGCACTGCAGTCCCAGGTCGGTGCAGCAAAGGATGTCGGCCCTACATCCTTCCTCTCGGGTCTGGCAGGCGAGAGTCACCTGTTAACAGAGAGCACAAATGGTGACCTTTTGTCTCCATACATACGACATCAGTATGTAAAGTCCCTACCGCAACCAGGGTAACACTCCAGATGCCGGCACAGGCTAACAGAGCTATATACCGCATAATAAGTTAGGAATTCCTAATGACAGAACGCTACTAACTTTTTTAACTTGGTTTCGCGCCGTCGGTAGTTAAAATTCCGTTAGTGTTAGTTATACATAATCAGCGTCTTTTATACCTGATGTCCGGACAAGTGTCGTGTCCTCAAGTGCATCCAGGTGCAAGCCAGTGATGTGGACGTCAAGTGTTTGCTCTGTCTGGCTGTTTCCTCCACACGTGACTGACTAACCAAGTTTTGGCATCCTCCCGCTTACAGTATGTACTAGAAAACAAACTGGAATTTGCAGATTATTGCTGATTGTTGTGGATTGTCTGCTGCACTTCAATTCGTGTCCGCCCTCGAGACAAACGACCACATGATGCCGCGCTTGAAAAACTGGATATGGAATTGCAACCCAAAGCAGCTTTTTGAGAGCTTGCAAGCCTGGACAAGTGTGTGACTGCCGTGTGGGAAACGTGGCGTTCGGAAAAAACACATTGTTATTCACGGCGAAACACTTGGGACGTGCATGCTTCCACGGATGCTGAATTCGCATCGACGAACCATTTTTCGATTCCGTTCGCAGAAAAATGTAGTCGGTTTATCACTCTTATAGATTCATGCCATGTTTATGGCAGGTCTGCCATACAAAGAGGACATTTCTAGTTAGCAGAACAAATCTTTCTAACACACAGTGTTCAGAGCCGTGTGTGCTAACTTTTCGAAGTGCGCTGGAAAACCGGTTTGCAACAGCACTGATCAAAATTTTGACGGAATATGAGATGCGGGACCGTGTCAATTTTTTATCGTAAAATAAAGTCTCACAGAGGTATATTCGTTTGTAAATCCGTTCCTTGACCTAATTTTATTGAGTTCCAGGCGACAACTTAGCCACACAGATAGGTTAATATCATAGGCTCATAATTTTGGTTACAGTTTTGCAAATAAGCAACAGAACTGCAGAAGACCAAGTAATATCTGTACTATGACATTTAATGATTAACCAAATGGAATACAGGTTTTCAACAAAAAATTCGCAGACAGCAAATCTACCAATCCTGAAAACATGACAAACGAGATAAGCAGCAGTCTAAGACAGATTCCCCACATGTTGCACAAACTAGGTCACTGGTTAGCGGTCGAAACGCAAAGCGTTGAATTAATAACCCCAGATCACATCGTGCGCAACAAGCAGAAAATCCCGCTCCAGACTTCCACGTCCAATTCGCCAGTCCATAGAGCTCGGAAGATTCACCAGCCAGGAGGTTCGCGAAGATGACCACAGACAGTTGAATGAAACGAGCGAAGAAATGACGAAAATGCCAGGGTCCTCCAGGGTTCCCGAGTCCAGATCCACGGTTCGCACCCTCACCAAACACGAGGGAAGCCCACACGGAACGCCAAAGCACTGCACTAGCTAGGTCACTGGTTAATGGTCGAAACGCAGAGCGTTGAATTACTAACCCCAGATCACATCGAGCACAACGCCCAGAAATCCCCCGCAGTCCGCCCCCATGGCCAGCTAAATTCTCCCCGTGGCCCCAACTCCAAGCCCCGCATGGCTCCATAAAACAGGCAGGAAAACAGTACGACATCAGATCAACAGTCATGAGTAAGAGCAGTAAAGAGTATCAAGGAATGAGAAATGTGCTGGAAGGCAGTAAGTGAGGTGATCCAGTACGATGGGCTCGTGGCGAACAATTCCGCGATATGGTTTGTCCCTGCCAATCTGGTATGAACCAGAAATGGCAGGGCTTGTAATTTATTCGAAAAAGGTTACCAAAAATAAAGTAAATCGTAAGGAAAAACAAGAACTCTAGACAAGCCTGTCTAGAGGAAAAATTAGAGTACATATGACATTGTTCTGAACAAGTAATATCTGTTGTTGGCAGAGTTCATCATCAGACGCAGAACTTTGACGGGCTACATTGCATGTCAGTTATTGTCATCAAGGTGACGTAAAATCCAAGTAGAGTATAACAAGGTTGATAATAGCAGCACAGTTCCAATTTCACGTAAGAGTCCACATGAAGTTCCTTGGAAGCGACGTGCTGTTATGATGTTGTGATACAGGCAGCGTTTCCAAAGTACTTATGCGAATCCGTAGTTAATCATGCGCTCGAAAACAGTTCGACGGAATGTGGACAATTCGATGACTACGAGTAGCTGGCGATTGTCGGTTAGTTCTAATAAGTGTTAGTGGGCATGGATGGACTGGCTGGACTTAGACGAGGACATTGGCCTGGACGGACACCGGACGGCTTCGTACAAGGACACTGGACGTGCGCGGACACTTGTTTGTTTTAATACTTCGAAACTTATGTAAGAGGAGAATCCTCTTTACACACAGCAGCCGCCCATCCGCCGCCTACCTGGTTGGCTCAAGCTCAAGCACAAATATCTTGATCTTCGCAAACAGCAGCGATGGCACAGTGGCTGTGCTACGTGGATCTCACTCGGTAGCCAGCGGTTCGATTCCGCTCCATCGCCATTTTTCGGAATTTCCTCAACAGACAGGATCTTCATCTGACCGCCCTCCCTCGCTGAGATCATCACGGACAGCCGACTTATGGCTGCCTCTGTTATACTTAAAAAAACGTAAAAAAACTGGCTTATAATGTTTTTTGGCACGACTTTGCTGACCGTTTCGCGCGATATCTCATACATACCGGTTCGCATTTGTGATTTTTGTATTTTAATTTTTCCTGACCACTGGTCATCTTCATGGCCATCGTGTTGCTTTTGTAATAAAGAGCTTTTTTAGGTTTATCATTCAAGCTATTGGCATGCTCTGTACGATTGTTTCGTCAGTTGTTATAAAAGGCAATGGAAAATATTTCAGTGCAACATGGTTCCCATGCGTGTTATTTCGCATAGGTGATTGGTCCTATCTTACTTGATTTATGGTCACTAAAATTTTGAAAATACTTCTTTCTTAACTGAATTAACTTGTCCAGGCCGGATACCGACTGTACATGGACGAGGATGCTGGGCAGGATGGACACCGGACGGCCTGGCTCGTGCACACTGGACGTGCAGTCGTGCACTGACCTTCAATGTACACAGTGTCTATACACAAATACACAAATAAAGTGTAAATCTGGCACTCCCGGCCGACCTTTTGAAATTGTCGAAATAGTGGCAGCTCCCGAAATAACGACACCTCCCCAAACCAAGCGCACCTGCACCATGGCGTTCGAACTATTTGCCGCCGAGTGCCACAAACTCGGTAATTACGGTCTGTGCGTGTAGCTTAAACCAGCGTTTACTGAAAATCAGAAAAACCTCTACGCGGATTAATAATGGCTGAGGACCACTAATGCTGCTTGAAAATTTTTGACGAATAATTTTATTTTACATTTCCAATGGTTCTAAACAGGCATTACATCTCAAACACGTCCTAACGTTTGGGTGACGAGTCTGCCACTGTAGCATCCCACAGAAAGCGCGCTCTGACCGTGAATGTTAATTTTATTACAAAGATTACTATTCAAATTCTGACCTAAAAATACTGTACGAGTACATTTTCGAAAAGAGAAGTGAGAATTTGTAGGTTTTAGTTTTGGTTTTACACAATCTAGATTTTGAAAATTTAAATTTTGGTAAATAAATTGGTCAGTCCCTTCCATATCCATTTATCAGAAGGTTAGAACTACTTGCAGTTGACTCGCTCAGCATGAGGTTTACAGTGAATCGGTCGTTTGGCAGCTGATTGACTTTATTGGCTCAGATTTTGCTTTTTCTAAATTTATTTAGGTAATAGGTACTATTAACGGATTGCTTAGCTTTCGCTCTACTGTTTAGAAATTCGTTCTTTAATTCTTTGTTTAGTCGTGCATGGGTGGTCCATCGTGATGTCAATCGGCTGCCACAACAGTACGTAATGTTCCCCAAGCCATTAAAAGCCCGAATCCATCTTGTCGATCACTCATGGCGCAGATCGCCATAACCTTTTTTTGCTTATTTGTTTTGCATGCACACGTGCCATTTCCATGGTATTATGATGGTAATTGAAAGCAGTGCACAAATTAGATAATACAAATTATCAACCAATTAATTAATTACAAAATAGAAAAAAATTATAAGTTCAGTTCAGTTTATTAAACGCTTAAGTTCATTAATCGCAAGCTTATAAGTTTTATTTTCAGTTCATTAAACGCAAATCACATGTTTACATGATTAAGCGTAGTGAAGCGAGTTTTTAGCGACTTTTCTCGGCAGAGTGCAGCTACAACGGACATTTGGATACATACTGTTGTTACGTACCATGCGGAAGTTGTGTAACGATGAGCGCATAATGACATAATTCTGATATCATATAGTTATGTAAACTGTTAAGTGTTAACATGGAATATGCCATCCTAATGATTGATGTGTGTGTACCTTTTATGATAAGTGCTGCTCAATGGTTTCTTAATGAGCTCATAATGGGATGAGTGTAATGACTGATGTCATACTTAGATCAGCGTCCTAATCTCCTTTTAGTATTTAAGGCTTTTTTGCCCGTAGAGAATTTTAGTATGTTGGATTTTCAAGTCTAGATCACTCTCCTAGTTCCGCTGTATACAGACTCCCGGAAGTGCCCATTAAAATGTAGTTGACCTTTCATGTCATGTTGCTTATGCTTACATTGCGCTACCTCCGGTATTCATGCAACCCAACGCATTTATAAGCGTAACATTTGGCGACCACGAAGGGAATACCGTATCAACAAGGTATGCGTAGTAAGACTAGTGACCTTTAGGCGTAAGTGACACTTTTGCTAATGTTGTTGAATGATGACCTTTCGTTATGTTTCGGGTGCTTAGCAAAACATATCTGCGGTGATTCGTTCCTAATTTTCTGTTTCCGGGATAAAACCTAAAGGTAACTGATTTAATCATTAAAATGAAGTTACATGAAGAGCATGTTAATAATGTATCGAATGTCAGTAATATCAGCAAGTATCCTTTTATTATAAGTCGAAAGCTTTTTAAAATGTTTTTGCAGTGGTTACGATGTCTTATGACGTATAGACGATTGCAAATGGACGGTCATTTGCTATGAGCGCTAAGTCATATTTAGTTCTAGTCAGTTCGCTTTTAGTTCTAGTCAGTTCGAAAAGCAAGCGAACTGCATAAGAATTATTCGTAGGATATTTTTATTTCCGTAACTAGCTTGGTGCTACGATTTCGGTTTAAAAGTTTTTGTATATTGTTTCTTGTAATAACGGTCGTAGAGAATACAGTAAAATTGTAAACGTCTCTGCTGCCTTTTTTTTATTGAAATTTGTTTCTGTTAATATGGAATTTTTCCTTAATTGCGCTACGTTAACTTGGACTGGTTAAGGATATACAGTAATACAAATTTTGGATTCTAAATTTTGGTATTATTACTGTACTACCAGCATATATTCCAGTTTTACTGTGGGAAACTAATTGCAGTGACAGCAGTGGTTCAGCACGCGATAGGACAAAATGCATCTTCGTTCTATTTTTGGACACCAGTTCCATAACAAAAAATTTTGTGTTTGACGGTTGCATTTGACATGTCGCTATACATTTCGTTAATATGTTGCTCCTGAAAGCGCGATCGAACTGTACATGGCTTCCATTTTATTAAATTATATAATAATGTGCATGTGGTCGAGGTGTAATTATGGACACCACTCGATATTTAATTTGGGCATGGGTTGTGTTGCACGTTTTAATTATTGATGTACGGTAGTTACTGATACATTCGCTCAAAAAAGAGCGCGTCGAGTCTGCAAGTAATTGCAGAAGATGCCTGCCCAAAACATTTTGTGAAAAGCATTGCAGAAAGGGCAATGTCAATGTTGCAGCGTAATGCAGTGAATGCAGCAAGCCACGAGAGATTAAGTTTTGTTGTCCCGCAGAAAAGCCAATAATATTTGGATTAATGCAGCGAAGGAAGTATTTATATGGAACCCCAGTCCCGAACCCTGGAATAAAGTGATTTAAGGCCCCGTCAAACCTGGATAGGAAGTTTGTCATGACCTTTTACATTATTTGGTGCATTCGCTGTCTACTCTTTAATTTGTCCACTGCCGGAACAGTCATGGAAATTGCGGGATTTTGATAAAATAACCTGAAAACAAAGAAACAGAAATTTTAAAGTGCAACTGATTGACAACTCTGGATGAAAACGTCATTTAATGGATCCCAATGGAGGATCAGACCTACGGCCTCACACTTAGGGAGGAATCTTTTCATGCCGAATCGGAATATAACAGATGTTGCAGTTCACGAGCCGTCTACTGCCATTCGATTCCTTGGAGAACAATTACCAACGCTCGTCTACTGGTGCTCATTAAGCGCATCTTCAAAAAAAAGTGACTACTCAGTGCCGCTGAGCGAAGCGAATGCCTTCCTGGACGATACAACGGTCTGCCTTATTTGGATTGCAGAATTCATCAAGGAACTTTGCTGTGATGGAGAAGAAAAAGCCGCCGAGAGCAGTAATAATACGCCAGTTCTTTCTTAAAGAGGGGAAGAGATTTTGGAAAAGTTGAAGCGTCGTTTTCAAGCAGGCGCTCACACTGCCTGACCTTTTCGTGAAGAAAAAGATGAGGATGACGATATTTACATAACAAACGGTTTGGGCAACAGCGTGATGTCCGAGTATTCAGATGGTTTAGCAGTTCCAGATGGTTTACCTATCTACCGGGTTTACAGGAGCATTCAGCAAGCGAGGTGAAACGACTACCAATCGAGCAGAAAAAAAGAATGGATTTCAGAGAGTGTCATAAAACAGATGCGGCATGATTGACAGAATAACTACAAATGCTCTGAATTTCTTACACTGTCAGTCCTGGTGAAGTGAAGTGCATTGTACCTATTTGGATACAACAAAACAGACGAACGGATACCGGCGACAGCGATGTTTTGTTCGGTGAAGTGAAAGTTTACCGCAATATGTTCCGTAAAGGCGTAGACCGAAAAACGTAGAATGGTATACTGTATTGCCAAGTTGAGATCACGCTGGAGCGAACCTGCGCTGGATTGAGTGTGCGAATTTTACGGGAGTACGCATGGGGAAAACAAAAAGGTCAATCATGTGTAATTGGTGATCACTAAACATAAACACGCGGAGGACCAAAAACATCTGGAAATGATGTCAAATTGTAACTGCAAATGCCGGCAGAAAACCCAGTCAGTGAACGTGTCGGGAACTCATTGAAATGAAAGAAAACTTGAACGAAGAGGATTTAAACCAGCAATCCAGCGCAGCAGATAACATCAGCGATTACCGGAAGCGGTAATGGAACAGCCTACGGCAACAAAGACTACTATTATAAAAAGTCCGCAGATGACGACCTTAAAGAGATGCTATAATTATATACACCTAATCACTTAAAACGACCACAGACCACGTACGGATTTTGTTAATCACGTCTTACCGGAAGGACTCAACTCTATCTTTCTTAACCTGGACCAAAGAAACGCTGCGCATTTCTTCTTCTAAGCGGGAGGAAATGTTACGTACCATGCGGAAGTTGTGTCACGATGAGCGCATAATGACATAATTCTGATATCATATAGTTATGTAAACTGTTAACATGGAATATGCCATCCTAATGATCGATGTGTGTGTATCTTTTATGATAAGTGCTGCTCAATGGTTTCTTACTGAGCTCATAATGGGATGAGTGTAATGACTGATGTCATACTTAGATCAGCGTCCTAATCTCCTTTTAGTATTTAAGGCTTTTTTGCCCGTGAGAATTTTAGTTGTGAATTTTCGAAAACGCTTTAAGGGGATCGCTATGAAATGAATTTCATATAAATGTGTTATCAATATTAACATCAGGTTGTAGGAAATTTTTCGGGCTTTCAGATAGTATGTCTCGATGGGTCATATTGTACTGCGATCATAAGTTATTTACTGGATTGCGGCGGCTCTGAATCGCTGCAGAGCAGCCAACGTTTGCATTCCAAATACCGCTGCTGTTTGGCACAGAAAGACGTCTTTGGTCTGCTGCTTGAAAAAGACTTGCGAAACAAAACGTGCGCCATCGCATACAATAACAGTAGGGAAACGGGGTACATGTGGACTGATCTTCCACTCACATTCAGTCATACACTTACGTTCTACACTCAGACCATATGCATTTTGACCAGTCCGAGCGACTTTGCCCTCTCCTGTGTCTTTTGATAGGAAGCAGGGAGCGCAGCAGACGACCAAGACCTACATGTTCAAAAAGGCGATTTGGACCGGGCTGCAGAGCGTTGCAGAGGACGGTCTGCAGGCCAGACGGGGTCTGACTCAGACCGCTTGCCATTTTTATTGCCTCTGCAATGCAAACTATCCCTGATTTGTAGCGATTTGAGAGCCGCCGCAATCCAGTTATTAATAAAAAAAACGAGAGCGTGTCAGCAGAGGCGAAGTAAATGCAGTGATGTTATTGGCTAGCCATGGCCAGCCGCATGGCAGATAGATCTGGACAGAAGACAGAACGCCTCAATGCTGTCCTGTGGCCGGAGCTAAGCTCATTCTTCCCTCTCAAGCTATGTTCTGTCTGATTTCTATCCTGCAAAACGCGGGCATGGGTAGCCGGCTCTGGCACACATTGCTGCCGGTCAGTCAGCAAGCCTTTCATTCAGCTGCTGTTTTCCAAAAACTTGTTATATGGCCTTAAAAATCGATAACTTCATTGTGAAACCTGCTATATTTTCAAAGTCGGTATCAGACGGTGTGCTATTTTCTAGAAAGCTTATATACCGAGACACTGTCATAGTCCAATAAAGCATGTTTGAATAAACTTAAAAAAAACACTTTTCAAAAAGTGTTTTTCTCGATTTTTTTGTAAACTGACAACATTTTTTATTAGCATGTTGGAGAATATAAGCTTTCTAGGCTAAAACACATCCAGTGATGTGTATCACATCTAATTTGGGAAAACTCTCTCATTCGACCTTTGAATTCAAAGTTTTTCCTTTGTTTCTTGAATAGCTCTGTCTAGAGAAAGCGCAGACAAGATCGCAGCATACCAGTGTGTAGCCAAACCCTTTGCGCATGCAGTGAGAACAATGGCAACAATAATCTTTCAGTTGTTTTTAACCTATTCATGATTTCCCAGACCCACTTTCATCTCATAGGGATCCCCTTAAGTTCAAGTTTAAAATCAAGTTCAAGTCAAAAAAGTAGCGGAGGGTATGCCTCGAGCCTTCGAAATATGAATCTCAACTTGCAAAAATGAACTTATCCAAGCTTCAGTTCAAGTTGGAAGGCCCTCCAACTTGAGCTACTTTCAGATTGTTGCCGTTTGTGAACGGCCGAATTATAAACTTGAACCATAGCAAATGTTTAGAAGAAAAAACATTTTTCTGCAACTTCTTTGCCTATCTGCAAGTTTAGTTTGTGGCGATTTAGACACTAACGGTGATCAACGGAGAGGACCGATTTTTTTATTTCTGTCGTGGAACTGACACCAACTAACCGCTGGGTGCGGCAATCACCCACTTGACTGTTGACAGACGCTGCAAAGCTTTGTACTGTCGTAATTACTTCACCTCTTTGCGAACACTAGGCAACTCTAAAGTAACAGATAGAGAAAAATCTAGCAATTTTCTTGAATGCACGGAAGGCCGTTTCTGTTCACAATGAATCCCTAAAGGTTTAGTCGAAATTATGTAGCATGGTAACCCTATGGACCGCGGAGTACTCGCACACCACCACTTGTAGCTCGTAGGTCCCTATGGTAATATTTAAGAACGGATAAAAACCTTTGTTCTCCATCAAATTTTCCTCCCGTGGTATCAAAAAACACTTCAGAATTTTTTCATGGGTGTAGTCTAAACTTTCATGAGATGTGAAAAGCGAACGTGATGCCTAAGGATCCTGAAACCAGTCATCAAATTTTCGTAAGGCAGCATCGCTACCGCGTGCAGGCGACGGTTAGAAAAATTCATGAACTTTAGTTTGGTTTGCTGCGTTTGGAAAAGTCATAAGTGTACAATTTCAACTTAAAACTCATGGTTAACTTCAAGTTGCTAACTTGTATTCGAACTTGTGTCTGAATTTAAAGTGGTTTCGAAACGTCCCAAGTATGTTGGATTTTCAAGTCTAGATCACTCTCCTAGTTCCGCTGTATACAGACTCCCGGAAGTGCCCATTAAAATGTAGTTGACCTTTCATTTCGTGTTGCTTACACTTACACTGCGCTACCTCCGGTATCATGCAACCCAACGCTTTGAATTTTATAAGCGTAACACTGTATTTTGCGCAGACTTATTGGAGCACTATTATTTGAAAGGGGTTAGGCCAGTTCTCCTCTGTGACTTCATCCGGTTGAATAGCATTTTCGTTTTTTATACCAACCAGAATATTAACTTTGGAATATCCACCACGAGAAGGTCATCCAGCTGGAGGAGTGGCAGCAGCAGTGATTGTGAAAGAGCTCGTGGTATGGTAACTCAAGTATACAATGCTCTAGAGCAATCAAAGCATCGCGGGTTATTGCCAAATTTAATCTCAGTTCATTTCGTGCAATGGGTCACTCTTCTTACTAGTCTGCTGGCCGTGACAGTGACAGGACTATTGAAAGATTGACAGCCCGCATCGCCGTAAGGAACGCCGTTGATTACCAGGAACACTTTGTTGCAAAACTACGAGTTCAGATCCTTTGATAAATCGAAGAACAATCGAAGTACGGTATCTTTAATAGTCTGTACTTAGCACGTCTGCACAAATTACGCTTGGGCTTTATTAGCTTACCAGCCAGTTATAAATGACAGGAGCTATCTGAAAAACAAATAGTGAATAATAATATAATTATTTTCGATTGCGCTAATGCAACGACATTGTGAATTTCCTTACGGTGATATGGCTTCCAGGAGGTGCAATCATCATAATCGGACATACTGTGATGTGGTTAGGGTCACTGGAGAGCGATATAGTCGTGTCGGCCGATGTCAGGAAATAGCAGCCTCCACACGCTGCAGAGCAAACACATTGTGCCGGGAGTGCTTTGTAATCAGCGAGCAAGCTTAGGCACACCAAGTGCTGAATGCTTCGCACCAGCTACTTGGAGCGAACAACACAAATCTACCGGGATGGTCCGCATTAACGGTCGCAAGGAACTTACGGGTAATCGGGAACGGCGCAGCAGGGGGGTAACCAGCGCTATCTACCATCGAGACTCCCTGCGCCACGCAAGACGTATCGGGGGATGCGGTTGTTGTTGCAGTCGTTGGTGTCGTCGCAGTCGCTATGGTTAAACAGTGGTATACAGTTCAATACTAAACAAGTAACGAATCAGCTTGCAAATCTGGTAACTTAAACAGCAGTAATGGCGAACGCCGATGGCAGTACATTTCAGTGCAGTACGAGGGCAATACTTCAACAAATCCTTAATTCCGGTTCTCCTTTTCATTTTAATTAAGTATTATTCCGGCTCCCAGCTGGTTGGAAATGCAGCATAAACAACCGTACCATCGAGGGAAACCATTAAGAATTTTTCGAAGTATACGAGCTACCTTCGGAATTAAAAACCTTAGTATGGAGCCGCGAGAAACGCTGGATATTACTACTGGTAACGCAGTCTAAATTTGTTTTAATTTCTCGGTTAAATTTGTAAAATGTTTGTGAGTACATCAGACGCATGTAACCGGCAAAACGGCGTAAACGGGTGGACAATCTCCTTTTCTGAAAACGAACGCTGTAAATTTTCTCCAGCTAATTCTTCAATAGTTTTGCTGGCATCGAGCGATGATAAAACAACACTGCGATATTTTCACTGGACAACGAATTTCCAGTCAAACGACTCGCATTTGGTGGCAGTAGCCAAATTGTGTGGCTGCAGTGTCAGAGAGGATGCCCTAAGTGCGGCTGCCCGTGGTCTTCTCAGCGAAGGAAGGGCGAATCCGTGAGGTATTCGCAAAAATGGCGATGGAGAGAAATCTAACCGCTGACTACTGAGTGTGATCCACGTAACATAGCCACTCCACTAGCACCGCACTGTTGGCTGATATCTAGATATTTTGGCTTGGCCTTGAGCCAATCAGGTAGGCGGCGGTCTGAGCGGCTGCCGTGGATACAAGAGCCTTCTGCCCTTACAATAATGACCATAGCGATGTTTTTTGAAGTAAAGTGCATTTAAGACAAAGCCTTTATCGATCATGTTGGTGCTACTCCGTTTTAATAATTATTTAACTTACTGGTCGTAATGGCAGTAGTCGTCGATGGACAAGCGGTGGTGGTCCCAGCTGTCGGTGCTGCGCAAAGCTCGGCCGGGCAGCGCGAGCAGGTGTCTGCCGAACAGGGCGGACAGCTTCCGCAGAGCTCCGCCGGGCAGCGCGAGCAGGTGTCTGCCGAACAGGGTGGACAAGCTGTGGTGTTTGCAGCTGTTGATAATGCGCAGAGGTCGGCCGGGCAGCGTGAACAGGTGTCCGCCGAACCGGGCGGACAGGGACAGCGCGCGCAGGTGGTTGCCGAGCAGGGCGGACAGTTTTCTTCCCTGCACGTGAACGGCGCTGTAAAAAAACTATTTAATAGAACTAATAAGTAGTGCACCCGCGCTTGCAAGTATTGCTATTTGGGTGGCTATTGCCAATAAAGGGACTATATAGAATGTACAGATATTTCCTTCAGCAATAGCCATACATATACTGTCATACAAGTATCGGTGGCGCGAGCGCGCCACCAGGTGTGTTTTAGGTATGGAAACACGAAGGAGATGACGAAGTTCAAAATGGTTGTAGACATATTCAAAGACATAAAAATGCGTAAAAGCGCGGCGCTATCAGCTATTACTGCATCTTAAGCTGTTTAGATATTTAGTAATTTTAATTACTCAGATATTTAGGTATCAAAATATTTAGAAATTTTGGTATTCTCAAGCATTAAGATGACGGCCCCGCTGCGCGGGGCGCGGCTTGGATTTCGAAGGATTTTTAGAAACGTTTAAAAGTATTTAGGAACAGAAGTTTATTTAAATGTTTAGATTTTGAACAATTAGATATTTAAGTATTTAAATAGTTTGAAAGCTTAATTTCGAAATTCTGAAGCGCAAAAAACTGGAGGTAAAACTTATATTTAGATATGTATTTCACTATTTAGACACTTAGTCAGTAAGATAATATGATATGTATTCAGATATTTAGTATTTGGAAACATGGATTCTAAATTCTGGGCCGACTAGAAATATTTAAAAAATATTCACTGAACAATAGAGGGGCGTAAACTATTTAGTGTTTTATATATTGTAGTCTGCAGATTGTTTGTAAATGATGCTAATTGTAAGTTGCAAATCTGTATGTTTTGATCATTCTAGATGCTTCTAGAAACTTCTAAATACTTAAGGCTAAAGTACGGAAAACCTAAAAACGTTTTTAGAACGTTCTGGAAGAGCAAAGATTTTTTTTCAAAGTGTAGGTGACCCCCTTTGATGGACGCTAGATTTTTTAAAAATATGAACGGTTCTGAAATGTTAACCTTGAATTAGGAGATAATTTCGAAAAAAAAAAGGACATAAAGTATATATGAATCTATAAATAGATAGATAGATAGATAGAGATAGATAAAATAAATAAAATAAAATAGGCAAATAGAAATAAAATAAAATAAATAAATAAAATAAAATAAATAAAATAAATAAAATAAATAAATAAAATAAAATAAAATAAATAAAATAAAATAAAATAAAATAAAATAAAATAAAATAAAATAAAATAAAATAAAATAAATAAAATAAAATAAATAAAATAAAATAAAATAAAATAAATAAAATAAAATAAATAAAATAAAATAGAAATAAATAAAATAAATAAAATAAACAAATAAAATAAAATAAAATAGAAATATAAAATAAAATAAAAAATAAAATAAAATAAAATAAAATAAAATAAAATAAAATAAAATAAAATAAAATAAATAAAATAAATAAAATAAATAAATAAAATAAAATAAAAAAATAAAATAAAATAAACAAATAAAATAAATAAAATAAAATAAATAAAATAAAATAAAATAAATAAAATAAAAAATAAATAAAATAAAATAAAATAGATAGATAGATAGATAAATATGAAATAGATAGAATAGATGATAGATAGATAGATAGATAAAGATAGATAGATAGATAGATAGATAGATAGATAGATAGATAGATAACAGATTAACCTAGTTTCGATGTATAATAAGATAATAGAAAACCTATACATTAACTAAAATAAGAAGTGACCGAAAAATTACCAAAATGTTATTTAAGGATATGATCAAAATGTCATTCTTAATCTAAACCTTAAAACATTAATCCGCTAACTTTGAAATTCATTGCAAAAATACCGGTAATAAGAGTTGTTATACTAAATTTTTAAAATGTCCTAACCCTTTCAAAGTTAAGCTTCTGTTTATAAGCTATTAGTTTTTTAGTGTAAAAAACACACTATAGTTTGATTATATAGATGTCCAATGATTATATAGATGACCTTTATATAGATGTGAGTTTGATTATATAGATGTCCTTTAAATAACAAATAAAATAAAACAGAAAACAATAACAAATTAAACGAAGACCCACCAATGCCCAAACCTTTGTGTATAACTTTCCAGAGGTAAACAAATTCCTTGAGGACGTAAAACTTCAAGCCAACCCTGATCTATTTGCATTACTTGAAAAAATATATTTCTTTAAAAAAACCGAAAAAAAAAGAAAAGCTCAGGTGGACAATCTTTTTAGTATAATAATCAAAATTAAAAACAATTTCCGTTTTAAAGAAGGTACCAAGAAAATTTTTATTGAATAAATAGAAGAAAAAAATTACTAAAACAGTTAATAAAACCAGAGTTCAGAGAGAAAAAGCAAGTCAATAAACACTGCCATAAAAAAATTCTTAACACGTGAAAATGTTATCTTATAATTGGACAAAATAAAACGAAGAGCATAACTGAAAAAAAAGTACAGCAAGTAATCCTGCGATGTTAGATCAGCCTCGATGTTTCAAAATTTGCAGTTTTGAACTAAGCCGTCCTCCGGCGTGCAGATTCGATAATTCCGGTGAAATTCTTAATTTAATTCGTTTTTGGCACCGACATATACAACACTGCCGGATAGATACGTACTTGTAGTTGGGTAGCGAATACAACGGGTGCCACTGGAATCCTGGTAGGCCAGTGCATCATCGCACACGCACTGACGCCGGGCGTTGCAGACGGATGCGGGGTCCGCGCAGCGCTGGCCAATACCGGCGCACGGGCACTGCAGACCCGCCGCGGAGGTCATGCCTTTACAGGATTCGACGAACGCAACATCCGCGGGACTGCCGTTATCGGCCGTTTTCCTAGACAGCGCCGGCACTAGTACCCGCCCATTGATGGGCGTGGACGGGGTGGTGGGCAGGGCCGACGGGAGGCTCTGGCGATCCAGCCAGGTGAATTTCCCCAGAGGTACCACCAGCTGGCATGGTGCCGGACTGATACACCACAGCAGCACAAGGTAGAATAATCCGAAAGTATCTACAGTCGATTTGAAGAAACTTCTGTTTAAGGAAATCGGAGCGTCGGAAGAAGACATTGTTGAGCAGTTTGTTACGGTTATACGGTTATGCCAGGTGCAAAGCCTGCGTTTAAAATGTTTAAAAAGCAGAAGCGATCTATCTTCACAGAAGCTGGGCGTTTTATGTCTACTGCCGGCTGCGACGTGTTGTGACCTGCAGCTGTTGTTGTACTAACTTAACAGGTGGTCACCACAAAAAAAATACCGTACCGTTGTCTATTTTCCTCATAATCTGGGCTCTGCGTTAAAGACCGTTTTATTCAAGTTTCGATAAGGCAAACCCGCACACGCAATGCGATGATTCGCTGCCGCAGATTAAATTTATGTTTAACGTCTTAGTGAACTGCAATCTCAGTAGAGACAATTACTGACTCGATTTCTTTAAGCGAGGCAGTCTCTTTTTGCTAAATCCATCTGCAAATAACTGCGGTGTTGATCATAATTTCCTATAAACAACCGTTATTCTTGACAGCTTGTCACTTAAGACGGCTATAATGTACCTCAGAAAACGGAAGAAATTCCAAATTTCTGTATCTAGGCTGGTCTGGTTGGCAGGGCAATAAATTAATGTACTCCGTTTCATGAAAGGAAAGTGAGAAGATCGTTGTCGAGCTTCGAATTTCTGTATTACTTGTTTTTCCATTTGTCTGCGATTTTGTAGCAGTTCAAACGCTTCTCGGATTTAAACCCTACGGAAAATGAAATTCTTTCCATTTGTCTTACCAGCAAATATGTTGCTGGAAGCGGAAATCTGTCTCAAAGCTTTGTGTAACTGACAAGTCCGGTGCATCGTTGATGAATTGATCTGCGTTGAATTGTCAGGAAGCGATTGTCTCGCTTAACGCGAGATTTAAACGGAATCGGATATTTTGCGGTAGGCCGGTAGCTCGAGTTATATTCTATGAAAACATGATTACGGCGTATAGTGCTGAAGCACTGAGGAAAGATGAAGATTTTTGTACATGCATGGTCAAATAACTTGAAGTACAAGTCTGTCCAAGGAACGAGCGACCGCTGTAAGCGGGGAAAATCAAAAGCACGAGCTTGAGCCATTTACCATCCTACGCACGCCACACCGCCGTGGTTACCTTAACGACAACCGCGGGAGGTAAGACATAAGCAATTTATGTGGCTGTGTGTGCAATCTTTGATTGCACTCACTCTGCCACTCAGTGTACATGTACGTTGATTTTCTGCATTACCGTACGCGTTTCATTATGCCGTCGCTTGCACGGGTCAGCCATTTCGTGGACAGGCTAGTATTTAAGAACAATGCAGTGAATGCACTTCCTGTGCTGCCGGTACGTCTTGCTTATGTACGAGTTCATATTGCTGTCTACACATACATATACTAGTACATAGAAGGGAAAAGCCAAACGCCTTTAACCGTTTCCCAGTACTGCTGCCGTTCCAGGGCTGGAGGATGGCGTTGCGGCAATATTTGTAAAAGCATTCGGCGCGGTACATAAGCATTATTTTCGAGTGAGATGTCACACTCCCGCCGGGTGACGACAACAGAACAAGGAAACGGGTGAAATGATGGCTAAAATCAAATTTAACGGTTAAAGTTCGGTTTTAGCATCATTTCACCCCTTTCTTATTGCGTACGTGTTATTTCTTATTATACGTTCTTATTTCTTATTGGGTATTGTGAAATGAAACGCTCGTGGATAAAAGTCGTACTTTAACCCTCCAGCCGGCGGTACCGGAAGGAGTGAGAGTTTCCTTTTGAAAATCAAGATTTCGCCATGAAAAAAATAATTTAGAGAGGCAATTTTTGTGAGCTTGTGTTGAACATAGGTCAGCATTGGTAACTAGGGTGTTTGCCAACGCCAGTGCCCATGGACGGTCTACAGTCTAAAAGTCAGTGTCTAATTTTGTGGTACTAAAGCAAACAAAAATTCCGTAAAAGTAATAGTATAATTAAATAGTACAAAAAACTACTTTAAAACAGGAGTATAGAAGTGGTCAACAAATTGACCACTGGTCAGCAACTTACTTCCAAACCTGTTTCCACGTATTTTGACCACTACTACATGTAGGAAAACACAAAAAATAAACGATGCTAACAATAGTCCTTCCAAACACATTCATTATTTACGCTCTCATATGGTATTTCACGAAACAATTTTGTTTATGCGCAAGAAATTCCTGAGAAGGAAGTAGCCGGAAAAAGGCGTATCGATTTGATTAAAAATTTATGCAAATTTCGAATTTCTACAAGGAATCATGGCCCCTTGGCACCGTCTGACATTTGGGCCAAAAAAGCTGAGAACTTTAAGCAGACGAAATAGGTAACTTAAGCCCCTGGCTAGCTATTGTCATCCCTTTTACCCCCTTTAAGAAATATCGTCCCGTTTCTGAAAATAAAATCAACACACCTTAACACAACTGTCACAACTTATTCGTGGTACATTCGATTGGCTGTTGCCACAACCTTATCAATAGATTCATATATCCTTACGTCCTTATTTTTTTGAAATTATCTCCTAAATCAAGATTGGTTTTTTCGATAAGTTGATGATTTTATAAAATAGAGCATCGCGCAAACGTTCCTGCCTTTATCTTTCAAAAAATCTCAAGTTTTGGAGAAGGTCTAAAAAAATTTTCTGAAGCTGTAGTACTTAAAGGTTGTTAGTACTTAAAGGTTGTTAGTTTTGGAAATTATCTCTAATTCGAGAATCCATTTGTGAAGCTTTTGATTATTTTATAAAATCCAGCATCTTCTGAAGCTTCCTACCTGCAGCTTGGAAAAAAACTTTGGTTTCCGGAACGTTTTCAAAAACCCTTTCAAACTTTCAGTACTTAGCGTTTAAAGTTCATAGAAATTTCCAGTAAATTCTAGAAACGTCTCGAATGAGCAAATACAAGTTTCGCAACTTAGCAACCTAAACTATAGTTATTCAAAATTATAAGTTTGATGGGATTGATAATTTTGATCCCATCAAACTTATAATTTTTAATTATCAATCCCATCAAACTTATAATTTTTTTTTAATCCTTGAAACCTTTAAGATGTTTTTAAATCTGTTTGAATACCTCAAAATAACTATAAATTTTTCGAAAGTCGGCTCCAAAAGCTTTTACATTTCAAGAATTTCTAAATATTTCGACTCGGCCCCGCGCAGCGGGGCCGTTACCTCTAATTTTTTGAGCCTCCAAAATTCCCAAATTTCGGAATTTAAAAATATCTAGAAATTTGAGTACCTCAATATCTCACGGTCTAAATTGTCTAATTTATAATTTATTTATAAATACGAGGTATCTAAAACTAAAAGCCAGCCTGCGGCCCGTTTACCGTATTCACTCACATAGCGGCTCTGTGATACTGGTGGTAGCTTGGGTATTCACTAACCTACGTTGCTCTGTAATACTGGAGGTAGCTTCACTAAATTCAAAATCTAATAAATATGTATTTATTTTATTTTTATAAATACTGAAGAGCTTGACTGAATGGCTGAAAATCTTACAATTAGTATTTAAAGATGCAGCCTGCCAGGTCACCCTGGACAACCGTTAATTGTTTCTCACTAGTTTCCTTTAATTCTGCGCTAAAATGTCGGCTGAATGGTTTTGTGGGCATCGTGTTAATGATCCCACTCCATTCATTTAATCACCGTTTAAATATTATCGGTCGTACAAAAAAATTCAAGTTTTCAGTTCGTTAGATCGGCAATATAAAGTTACATTAAAAACGTAAAAAAGAACCGTGAAAAATGCAAACAAAAAGAAAAACCGCGGAGGCTTTTACAGTTTTATAACACTGGTCGAATTTACCGGAAAACTTGAAAACTGTCCGCATTTCACCATGTTAAAATATTTTCGTAGCTGGCCTCGCTGGGGTTTCATATTTGAAATATTTCTCAAAATCATTTTTATTGCTGTACGAAGTATATTTTGTATTTTTTTCATTCTTCCATACCTCGAACACAACTGGTCGCGCGCTAGCGCGACCGATACTTGTATTTTATAAGCTTACGGCTTCATGGATGAGTGTTTATCTGCATAGAATCCACCAGTATGCTGATACTGGAGTTTTGCAGCAAGCTGTTTCACCGTCAGGAATTCATGACGGCATCAATGGTTGTCTTGTGATTTTTAGCCAAAGTGTGAAAGGTCACTTTAACAACAGAGTTGTATAAAATGCCCAAAGAGCGGTCGGGTAGCTAAAAGGGTGGACAGTGGTAATATCCATTTTAATTATTGTGTTCTGAACAAAAGTGGACGGGCAAAAAATAGCCGTCGACAGAATCTTTGTATGTTGAAAAGCGTGATTATCTGATTAAAAGACACGAGTACGATTATGAATAGGTATGATTGTGAGAACTTTTAAAACAAGTATGATTATGATTAGGACGACCAGTATGAGTATGATTAAGAGTTTTATTAGTATGAGGACGATTATGAGTATGAGAGTCTTACCCAGCCCCGAACTCCAGTTAAATTCAACAGTATGAATTCTGAAGGCAAGGACGTGACAGCCGCATTCGGGGGTGCAATAAAACCTCGTATAGTGTGAACTTTTTTATTCCCTTGCTTCGGGTCACATATGCGTTTTGCCTTTTATCGGACTAAAGATGAAAAGCAGCATTTCAATGAACCAGCGTACATAGTGCTCGAGGTGGCAGTTGAACGTTTCTTTATATACCCTGGTGCGCTGATAAAAATGCAGCAGCTTGCCAAGTACACATTATTTTAACAACCAATAATAAGCTACGAGTACGTTCAACCCTTCACGCCGCGCTCCGGTCTGCCAATGCACGTAAAAGTGCATTTTCCTAGTATTATTAAAGCCTATATGTTACTACATGCTACATATAAGGGGCGAAAGTAAACGCGTTCCACCGTTCCCACTTACTGCTGCCGTCACCCGCCTGGAGTGTGACGTTACGGCAATACATGTGGTTAAACCTGGCGCGGTACATAAGCGCCATGTTCAGCCACAACGTCACACTCCATGCGGGTGACGGCAGCACTACAGGGGAACGGTGGAACACGTTTACTTTTGCCCCCTATATGTAGTTCATATGTACTAATGTACATACTGCTACTGCATATGTACTTACATACAGCTGCTGCATAAGTACTTCAGTTTAGAAATTCCTTGTGTGGTTCTTTGTTTACTTGTGCACAGGTGGTCCGTCGTGGTATTAATCGACTGTCAGCAACAGTATCGTTCC